AGCTTCGTAAGGAGCCTCTTAAGGGAGAGCGGCGAATACCCTCCGCTTTATAGATTAGGACTTCACAATCATCATAACTGCGTGGAAAGAGACCGTTTTATAGGCAGAAAATACCCGAATCGCCACCATTCTCAGTATTCTCCGAGTAGTTCTGATGATCCTTATTTACTCCTCGACGTCACACTACTACACGAACACCCCCTAAAGAAGCACCGAGTAGATCACGCCGCCGTAGAGGCGTCGCTTCTTCTCCCTCCATCCGTGAAGCTTCGGAAGAAGCCTCCTAAGGTACCGCGGAGGATACTCTCCGCTTTAGAGATTAGGGCTTCGAAGTGAGACCTGAACGACATTCTTGAATCTACTACTATGCTGAAGTATTTAACTCTGGTTCTAATTTCTACGCAAACCCCTCTGAGGCAAATCGTAGGGGGCAGAACATTCCTGCGCCTGCAGCAGAAGACCATGGCCTCCGTTTTTTGCGGCGCCACTTTAAGACCCAATCCCTCGATCTCCTCCACCAAAATGTCAAAGTCCCGCTCGGCGTTCATGATAACTTGAGACAGGTCCCATCGCGATGACAGTAGCACCGTGTCATCCGCATAGCAAATAACACAGGAGCCACTTGGTTTCGGGGACACTGTCATAGGCAATGTTTAACAGCGTTGGGCCCAAAACGGATCCCTGTGAGACCCCACAATACACTTGTCTTTCCACGGCGCGTCCATGTTCGTCTGTATATGTTATGGTAGGATTGTCTAAGTAAGGTTTGATAATGGTCACCAGGTATCGTGTTTTTTCGCTCCATCACCCTAACGAGAACGGCCCACGTTAGGGAGTTGAAAGCGTTAGAGATATCAAAACTCACCAGAATAACTACTTTACTGTCCTGCGTCGATGCCTCCACAAATTTTTTAATATCGAGGACGTTATCTGCTCGTCCTAAACCCATACTACAATGGGGCCATGATCCGAGTCTCATTTAAGAAGCTGTTGATCCGCCCAACAACTATGCGCACAAATAGTTTCCCCAGTTCGCCAATCCCGCATATGGGTCTGTATGATCCCGGTGAGTCCAGGGGCGGGTCCCTTTTTTTTTATCAGCGCGAGCTTCGCTATTTTCCACGCTTTCGGGAACCTTCCTGTCCTCAAGCATGCGGAGAAGCACTGCGCCAACTCTATTCCACTGTGTGTCGACGCAGCACGCACAACCACACCCGGTATCCCATCCAATCCAAAAGCATTCCTTCCTTTACCTTTCCTGGCGGCAGCCAAGATCTTTTCCGCAGAGATAGTCACCTCTGGGAATGTAAGTTCCAGCGGCTCATCATTTCGCGTTCCTGCTGGGAATAGTTCAAAGAGGATATTCTCCAGTACCTCATCCTCCAGGGTTTCAGTTACTGATGGGACATAAGGCCTAAGTTTTCCCAAGACCAATTTGTAATGTCTGCCCCATGGACCATCCTCTATAGAGTCCTGCAGGTCCCTCCAGGAGTTCTTCTTGGCTTCCTTAATAGCCCTAGTCAGTGCCCTCCTTGTGTCCCTTCGGGAGTCCAGACAGCGCACTATTTCCTCCCTGTTCTTCCTTTTCCTGACTCTGGAAAGTTTCCCTACCGTGGTCGTTGCAACGGCCCTAAGGTTTGTTAGTTCGTCCGACCACCAGTAAGTACTTTTACTACCGCGGGTTTGTCCACTCACCCGGGACATGTCACCATATTTTATCGCTTATATGTTTATTACTTATTTTCTATTATGTGCTATATAATAATGTTAGTTTGTGATAATAGAGACTCCCTTTACATCGGGCTCGAATGTGTTACATAATTGTGTTAGTTATATATATGTAAGAATCTTAGTTGGTACGTTTCCTTTATTAATAAAAGTTTGAAAAACATTTATATAGTACGTAAGCGTAAGGTGTCCCCATTTACTCCTATACTTAATAATATAAGAAAGATTTATTTACAGATCTTAGTGCTTAAGTGTGAGAAGGGAGCGGAATGTAACACTTCCCCTCTTATTAAAAAATGTGCGTGATTATACGTGCATTTTAACTTCTTTTTTTACTCAAATAAGTGTTTAGTTCGTAGAATGTGTTACGTTTTTCATCAGTAGCGTACTCTCCTCTTTCCTTGTCGGTGGTGGTAGCCTCGGGTGCCGTACTTGTTGGAGTTTCTTCTTTCTTTTCTCTTTTTCCTAGGTAGAGAAGAAAATTTGTCACCAAGCTCCATAGTGCTCCTAAGAGATGTAAGCTCCATCCGTATATGTCATGCAGGGCATAACCGTGGATCGATGATGAATTTTACCAATCGTATGGCCATGAAGATTGCTAAAACTCCAGCGCTTGCTGACCCAAATGTTATGAACGCGCCCCATAGTCATTGTGCCGTACTTGATGCGATTTTATTTAATGACTCCTCGTCTATTAAATTATATAACGAAATTTTTCCGGAGGGTATGTACCTTCCGCTGATTCCTCTGGCGAGCGTATCGATGATAGCAGGTTTTTCGGCTGGTTCCATTATATGAGACCTTAATTTGCTTAGGTCTTCGTTGGAATAAATTCCGCTTGTTCCCAGGTATTCCGGATCGATATACCTCCATTTTAGCTTTGTTAGTGGTTAAATTACTGGCGGATGTATCTACTCTACTAGTTTTGGTGTTACCCTATACCATGTTCCGTGTAGGTTATACATGTTAGATAGAGCAGTTCGTTGCAGTCTTTTGGAGATGCTTCCTTTAAGATGTTGCGTGCCTCCTTATAACAGTCCTCTGTTTGTCTTATCCTGACTTCTACTGGAACGCATTTTATGATATAGATAACTTCTGATGCGATGACAGCCATATATCCCGGTTGTTTCATTAGGGCATAAGCCATTTCGTCGGGCGCTAACGATGCCAACGAGAGAGCATTTTAGAGGACTTGTTGCTCCAATACGTATTTTTGTCGGGTGATATCGATATACAATGCGTGTAACTGTGTTTTGAGGTGCCTTTCTACGTAGATGAACTTCGAGTTTACGTACGCAAAGATATCAAAATTCTCCACGGAGGTTTTCGTTTTACCTTCGAAAGTTCTTCCAGGCGATGTTCCGAGTATGAATAGTTTGGGATGTTCTATCTTTATTATCGAATATCCACATAGAATGAATTCGCCCGTTCTCGTTAATGCAAATGTGACATCTTTTGTTGTTACTGTATATAATATAGGTCGTTGCAACGATTCGGGTGTCAGTTTCGTTGCCGGCCTTTCATAAAGAATATCGTATTCGTTAAAGCCACAGCTATCGGTAGGTATGTTTGACCAGTAAGTCTCACTTCCGTCTGAGTCGAGGCAGGCTTCCTCGTACAATGTACAAACGGTTCCTGTCTGTAGGTGTATTTGATTGGCTTTTGTTTTCACGGTGGCGTAGTAGTCTCGTAACGTGATTTTGATAAATGCTTGTACCACTACGTCGTCCCATGTTCCATAAAAGTCACTATACTGGGAGCCCTTACAAGTGCCATCTGTTGTAGCAGTACCACTTAAATTAATGCTCCTTGTATCAGTGCTGTTCTTCTTTACGCCAAAGATAAAGACATTTGGACCGAGAGAGTGTACCTATAGAATGTAGCTGTTGGCACAACTGATGCGTTAGCGTGAACAAATATTCTCGACGTCCATTGTGAACGATAGATGCGTGTGAATGCATACCACAGTGGAATATCGTGCGGTCTATTTCCACACGACATTGTAGAACTCTCACCGTGTTGTAGTTGGCAGTCTGTAGTAGTTGTACGTATACGGTGTTGTTGATTGGTAGTAAATTCGGGATTTCGCAGTCAGCGATATCCAATAGAGAGTACGATGTGATATTTAAGGATTGCGTGGTGCAATCATATCCTACTAATGCTAGCGTTGATCTTGCTAAGGTAAGTATAAGAATATAAGTTCTTATTGAGTACATTGTGCGTTGATCTTTGAGTTATTTTATCACGTGGAGTGTCGAAAAGGTAACTGATGCCGTTGGTACATTCACAGTTCCTTATATTCTAATTTTTTAGTGGGAGACCACCTTTACCAACCGTCAACATGGAAGGGAGAGCGATCGTTGCGCTATGCTGCGTTGAAAAGACCCGTTTGTCGATATCATAGCTTTCCATGATGTCGACTACTATTTCGACTTATCGACTTTAAGTCTATTGACGTGTACCACGCGGTCGCCAATGTTGGTACTTAATTTTATATTATGCTTGCTTAATATTTCTACTATCTCGAACGATCCTATGTATTTGTCGTCGAATTTACCTTTTTGTGACCCTTTTTGGAGATATACTTTGTTTCCTACCTTGATATCTACGACTCTCTGCTTTTTATCATAGTACTTTTTCGACCTGTACTTAGCGTTTATTATGTTTTGTTTAGTGGCTTCTTGAGATTTATTTATTTATTCATTTAAAGTCCCTAAGTAATGTGCGTAAGTTTCGATTTGTAGGTTGTTATATGTAGATTTATTAGATGTTCGTGCTAGTTGACCGAATCCTAATTCATGCGGTATGTATAATGTTCCGTCGTGTACACGCGTGTTGTATGAAAACATAGCTATTTCAATCCATTCGTCCCATTCATTATTATCGGTAATGAAATGTTTTAAGAATTCGATAAGAACGAGATGCGATCGTTCGATCGAACCGTTCGATTGTGGATGATACGCACTTGTCTGGTACTAATGGCTTTGAAATTTCTTAGCTACTGCTTTCGTCAATTCTGACAGAAAGTTAGAACCTTGAACAGTTAAGATGCCTTTCGGAGAGCCAAATCGGCATATTACGTTTTTTATAAACGCGTCTGCTATTTCTTCCGAAGAAGCTTGTCGAAGAGGAATTGCCATCGAATATTTTGTAAGAAGATCTTGAATGATTAAAATGTAGCTTTTTCCATATTTCGTAGTCAGTAGTGTACCTACGATATCCATTGATATTTTATCAAACGCCTTCCCGGGCGTATCGGTGATAGTCATTGGTTAGTGAGTTTTTAGTCTGACAAGTTTCTTCGTCTGATAGCTTTTACATTGTTGTACGAAATTTTGTATGTCCCGTTTTAGGTTCGGCCAATAATACTTCTCTCTAATTCTTAGGTAAGTTTTAGAAACATCTTTGTGTCTACCTAACGGTGCCGAGTGGTTATCATATATAATACCTATTCGTTCAATCTCTTTAGGTATTACTATTTCATGCTTTAATATAATAATTTTCGTCTCGCTTTCTAAGAAGATTGAATGAATTTTACGTTTTACGTTGGCCCAGGGTATATCACCCACTGGTCCTTTAATGGTCGCAATAGTTTTTAATTGTAATTCAATCACCCTTTCAAAAAGAGAGTGAAGGACTTCATCTAAGTTTTCTAATTGAATTGAAAGCGATATTCTCTCCTTGACAGGTAATGCTATTAGACATCTTCTACCCATTTTAGTAATTTTCACTCTACCGAGAGTTGCATCGGTAATGGTGGGTAGCTTGTTATTGTCAATCAGTTCTTTCGCACCTATATCTACCAGTGTACCGTTCGTTGTTGTGAAGAAGGCGATGTTGCCATTGTGCATAATTATTCTATCTTTTATTTCTATAATTTTTCTATCGACGTGCGAGTATGTATCATCGCTCGAAATTTCGTCGTTCGTTATGTCTGTTGCGTCGTTTACGTCAAGTGGGGCTTGAGTGATTTCATGTGTCGTATCGTTCGCTTTCCTATCTTGAGGGGCTTGTTTATTCTTGGACGTGTATAATTCTTCCTCGCTTGAGCTTGTCCCTGCTGTGGGAAGTATTTGTTTATGTATTTCAACGTTTTATTTTTAAGTTTCCAGATAATGCGTCCGTGTTCACGTTTCTCTTTCCTGCATTATATATTAAACTATACTCATACTCGGCAAATTTCAATCTCCAACGTATTAATCTTGATGTTGGATCTTTGACTGAATTTAACCATACTAATGGTCTATGGTCTGTTACGAGTGAAAAGTTAGTACCGTAAAAGTAAGGCCTAAAATAATTTACTGCGTATATGATAGCTAGGAGTTCTTTTTCTATTGTAGAATAGTTTTGTTCTGCCTGATTAAGAAGTCTAGACGTATATGCGATAGGTAAATCTTTGCCCATTTCGCCTTGGCTCAATATACCACCTATAGCGTAATTAGATGCGTCGGTTGTAACAACGAAAGGTTTCGAGAAGTCTGGGTATTGGAGAAGTGGTTTCTGGCATAGTAGATTTACTAACGTTTTAAATGAATGCTCCTGACTGGTTTCCCATTTGAATGGAACATTCTTCTTTAAAAGGTTTGTAAGTGGTTTACTTCTTGCTGAAAAATTAGGTATAAATCGTCTATAGTAACCGGCTAGTCCTAAGAACTGCTTAATATTTTTAGCTGAGCGTGGTACTAGGAATTCCTTTACCGCTCTTATCTTTCCCGTATCGGGTTTCACACCGTCCGAACTTATTATATGTCCTATGTAAGTTACTCCCTTCTTAAGAAGTTTGCATTTCTCGGATTGTAGCTTTAATCCTGCGGTTTTTAATAGCGCATAATTTTCGATATTTAATAATGTGTTCTAAGAGAGATCTGGAGTAAATAACTATGTCGTCTAAATAGACAAAGAGCTCATTTCCTTGCAGTTCCGTGAGAATCGAGTTCATTAGTCTTTGGAACGTAGAAGGAGCGTTTTTTAAACCGAAAGGCATTCGTGTAAATTCATAATGACTGTAAGGAATCGAGAAAGCAGTTTTCGGAGCGTCTTCCTTGCTCATCGCAATCTGATGGAATCCGGATGCTAAATCGAACGTTCTGAAGTACTTAGCGCTTCTTAACTGGTCTAATATTTCCGTGATATTAGGTAGAGGATAACTATCTTTAACTGTTTTTTCATTCAACATTCTATAGTCGATTACGCCATCGTTTCTTTCCATCGGCGCCTGCTTTCTTAGGAACGATCCATAGAGGAGAATTGTAGGGTGACGTCGAGGGCTGAATGACTTCATTCCCTAAGAGCTTGCTTATTTGCTTGTTTATTTCTTCTATGTGAACGGGAGGGAAGCGATACTGTCTAACAAAGACTGGCGTCGTATCTACCGTCTCTATTTTATGCGTTACTGTGTTAGTAAATGTGAGTTTGTCTCCCGGTAAGTGGAATAATTCCAGCGATTCCCTTATAATCTGTTTTGCCATTCTAATTTCTTCCGCGTTCAATGATTTTAAATCTATATTCTGTAGCGCTGTAGCGTAGCGTTCGCTAGTTCTGTTTGTGACTGTCTTACAAGAGCGAGTGTGAGAAGAGAGGAAGAGGGAAGGACTCGTGGCGGCGTTTGCCGATTGCATAACTTTCGAAATCTCGGTCTCGTGCTTAAGGTGTTCTACGTGCGTCGTTATCTCGCCCTAGGGGAGATAAGGTCCGCATTCCAGACTTACTAGTCACGTTCGACGAATTGTTTTTGACAGGGAGATAAGAATCCCTTATATTCTTTTTATCCTTATCCGTGCTTCTAAGTTCTGGACTCGGTACAATGCATGCGTCGACCGTATCGAAATCTTGAAGCTCGATTGTTGAAATAACCACGTTTACGTCTTCCTTTTTCGTATTAAAGACTTTTATGAGAGCCTCTCCATTATTATTGTTTACTATAGCCTGGCCTGCGTAAATTCCTTCTTCTAATTTTAATGGAGGCACATAGCCTATTTTATTTTCTTTATCTAACGTGTTTATTTTGATTATATTGCTGATTCGCGCCGGAATGGTAATCTCCTTCGGTTTGACGACAAGGGCATAGTCATTCCATGCCATTCTACGTGTTCCTTAATAAAATTTATTTTTGCAGCATCTTGGAAAAAATCCGACCCGATAATGCCGCCATGTGGGATGGGAAAAGAGTCGGGAACAATGTGGAACTCTACGGGGTATCCATAAACGTCGATGATGCATGTTCCGTACGTACCCACCGTTTTCTTTGTAATACTGCTTAGATTTATTTTATTGGTTTCATTGCACATTAGATAATCATCAGCTTTACCTATTTTTAATATGTTTGGCTCTGACCCTGTGTCGACTAAGAATTCTGTTTCTCCCTTAAGATCTTTGTAGGAGATGACGACAGAAGGTGAGCTCGGATCACTGCTTAAGCAGACTGTGCGGACGTAGTTGGCTCGTCTGTTCTTACTATCATAATTTGACGCGTTTGCGCGTTTACCACCGAAGTCGCATCTCTCGTCGGAGGGTGGCTCACGTTTTCAGACTGGCGTTCCTGCCACTTCTTTTTACGACATTCCTCGATCGTGTGTCGGAAATTTTTACAATACCTACACTCTTTCGTAGGAGAGCGGAAAGATCCTACAGCCGGAGATGTGTGAGGTAGACGAGAAGGAGGAGGAGGAGGAGGATGGTATGATCTATGTGTAGGAGTATTTTTTACGACTCTTGCCTGTTATTAGGTTGGCGCGAATGAAATGTCGGATTCTTAAGTGAATATATTAAACTGCATATCTTTTTCCAAAAGCTGTTTATTTAATCAAAATATGCTCCATTTACTTCAATACACTTTTCCCAACGAGATTTTAATGCATAGGTGCCTGTCTTGAAGAAATTCTGATCTTTAGAATCAATGAACTCTGATATGGCATTTTTCAGACTGTCTTCATTTTCGTACTGTTTAGCCCGTAAAAACAGTTCTAAATGTTTAAATAAATGAAAGTCGGTTGGCGAAAGATCCGGTGAATAAGGTGGGTGGTGCAAAATTTCATATTTTAATTCATTTAATTTCGCAATTGTTTTGTACGATGTATGTGACCGAGCGTTGTCGTGGAGAAATATTGGGCTATGCCGATTAACAAGTGATGGGCGTATAATTTTCAATTTTTCATGCATTTCTTCAATGTACTGACAATACTTTTCGGCTGTAATTGTCATTCAAGTTTGAAGGAATGAGTAGTGTATTACTCCAGTCACATTCCACCAAACTGTGATTAAATTTTTCCGTGGATAAGGTGATGGCCGTGAAGTATGAACACAAGCAGGAGCCCTTATCAAGTCACCGAGCACACATTTTCCTATTGTCGTAAAGAACCCATTTTTCATCACAAGTAATGATCTGATCGAAAAATGAATCTCGATTAAATCGGGTTAGCAATGATGAGCATTCGTTCAAGCGATCCAGCTTATTTCGCTCGATTAGTTCGTGCAGTATCCACTTATCCATCTTTTTCACCACGCCAGTTTCAGAAAGCTGTCGCAATATTGTTGTATGGTCAACTTCCATTCTGGCAGCAAGTTCCTTTGAAGAAACAGTTGGATTCGTTTCCACCAATGCTTTCAGAGCATCATTTTTCACAGACGTTTCGGGTCTTCCACGCGGTTCATTTTGCAGGGAAAAATCACCAGACCGAAATTTTTTAAACCAACGCTGCACTTTTCGATCGTTCACAGTATTCTCCCCAAACGCCTGGTTTATATTGCGTACAGCTTTTGCAGCATTATTACCAAGTTTATACTCATATAAGAAAATTACACGAATATCGGTTGAATTCATATCGGTCCAAAATTCAAAGCAAATAACAAAAGGAAACACTTTTGAGAAAATCTTCTTTGCTAAAATGTGAGTCTGGCAATGGACAGTACGACTATAAACCAGGTTATGTCAAAAACAAAAACATAACAAAAACAGGGAGACAAACGATCATATTTAAAGAAAATCCAACATTTCGTATGCACCGACCTAATATTATAGCATCGATCCTGCGTATGTCCTACTTTCTTACAATACGAACAGACTTCACGCGTGTCTTTAATCCGTGCTACTCGCGTGTTGGATCCTTTTGCTCTCCGTGACTCATGGTAGTAATGGTCAGCTAGTCGTTCGCTGCTATTTCGTACTGCATTTTGGCGTGTAACTCGATTGCTCTATCGCATGCATCTGACAGATTTTTATTCCGTTTGTCTAATATATAAGAGAAGTACTCCATGGGGAGTCTGGCGCAAAAGCTATTGAGAGCTAATTGATCGATCTCGATCTTCTTTGCTTCGGACGCTTCTTCCCAATACTCTTCGTCCATAAGCGCTTCGTGTAGATCCCTCACTCTACCGATATATTCTATCATCGATTCATTCTCGCGCATCAAAATATTCCTAAGTTCGGCTCTATAAAATTCTTGGGAGTGTATTGATCCTAACGATTGTCTAAGACAATTACATAACGCGTTCATATTATGAAGTTCCTGTTTTTCTATGGCGCGGTACGCGGTATCGTATATTTTCCATATAGCAACTTTAGTGAATAGTACTTCTGGATACTCGGGTATCATTTGATGGGCCCTTTTGCATGCCTTGATAAACGAAGTTAGAGGCATATTCTTCCCGTCAAAACGCGGTATCATCCCTAGCGCTTCGTTTATTGAGTGCTGATCGGATTTGGAGCGAGTCTCGTTCCTCATGGCAAGAATTTCCTGCATCATGAAGATAAGAGGATCCAATTCGGTCTTTGTACGTTCTGTTTCGCGCCTCATCGCGTCTTCGCGTGCGCATAATGCTTGTTCGCGTGCAACTAATTGAGATTCAAAATTGA